ATTTCTTCTTCCAAACCCGTACCACAGCGATATTTAAATATGACATTTGCAGCCAAAACGAGAACGAATTAAAAACGAAATCAATGCTAAGAGCGATGGAAACGCGAATAAAAAAGTCGGCAATCAAATGCATGTCGGAAAAGGACAGACTGTTGTTGTTGTACATGAAACCATACAGCTGGATGGCGCCAACCGCTGCTATCAAAGCCGTTGATTCTCCGAGAATCATCTGGATGCTCATGTCGGCAATAAATCGCATGCTTCGTGGAGTGCGAAATTTATCAGCGCTCAACATTGCCTCTGCGTCCGCGTTGCGTTTAAGCTTCCTGTAAATGAAGTACCACAAATAATCTCGAACAACAATGGTTAGCCTCTCTAACAAGTCCACAGCGCCATGCACAAAGCTCAGAAAAATGAACAAACGAAGACTTGAGAGCTCAGCTTGCATGACACGGAAAACGATAGCGGATGCGGTGTACAGAGCGTTTAAAAGCACGTGAGAGTCACCAGGGTGAATGAAATCGATTCTCTGGGCCGTCAAACGCACTATGACCTTTGGTATAGCCGGGACGAGAGGAAGAGCACCAGTTATGACTGCTCTGAATGTTTCGTTCTGCACACGGCCATACAATGGAATCAGGCCATAAACAAGACCAAACGAAATCGGAATCCCGAAAGCAAATTGAGCTGCGAGTATCGCAGAAACCTTGATAGTCTTCTTGACTTTCATGGATCTTTCAGTTTCGCTGTTGTTGGCAATTTCTCTTCCGACAAGTATAGAATTCATTAGGGTTATGATGAGAAATAAAGCATTTAAAGGAAAAGACATCCAAGGCTTCTGGTATATTCCAAAAACTTGAAGGTAAAGTCTGTAACACGTGYCAAAAAATGCACCCAGTAGATTGAGAGTCAACAAATTGAGTTTCTTCACTAAGGGCCAATCAAACATTGTGATTACAACAAGAAATGACCACATTTGGCATACATATGCTTCTGCAGTGTCGGCGCTGACAATGATGGCTTGAATCGTAGGCGGAAGCGAGTTCCAATGTCCGTGAAACTTCCTATCGTAGCAAAGATCGACGGAATTGAAATCCAAAACCAAAATGAATATGGCAAGCGTGCCGAGAGTCAAACCACCAAGAATTTGAATACAGAAGACATCTTTCACGGCCTTCCAAAGCGACATCCACCATTTTGGCGGTCGAGATTTTTTCCAGCCCATTTTGCTGTCGTCCCCTGGAGGTGCATCGTACTCCTGAAAAATCGTATCATTGTCGTCGAACTTTCTAAAAGACTCCAGAGGATCCTGTCCTTGTATCAACGGGGCATCTTCAAGAAATCCTTGTCCCTGGTAAGATTGGATTACTCCGGCGGTGAATGTTTCCGTGAGATAAGCAAATAGGCCCTCTAGAGTAAACGAAGCCATGAATTATCAAAACAATGAACTACAAATCTCTAAAAGAAACGATACAGGAAAGGTTTTAGTTGAGTTCGATCTTTCTGGCGCTTTCGAACCTACAGTAATGCGATCTGCTTCTTTCCTTGGCCAGCGGTTTTGACAGGTGTAGTTAGGTGTGTTACGTATGGGTTATTGACCAAGCTTGTTCGGTCAAGATGGCTGGATATTGGCCTCGTTCTTTTATTGCGAGTTTATGGAC